CTCTGTAAATAAGTGATTTTTATTAGCAAAGACTGCATGCTTATTGTACCCCTGTACATTAAAACACAAGACGAATACTAATAATAGATATCCTCTATCAGATCATACAAAGTTTCGCATACTCCACTTAAAAGTGTTTTTTAAGTCATGATCAAGAAAGCCTGGTGTGTGTGTGTTTATAACAGAAGTGTGTGGGAGGTTATTGTACTTCCCGGTTGCCCACATCATGAAAGCTGATTGCTTCTTGGAGTACCTTAAATAAAAGCATCATTCATGTTGTTTCACTTCAGGATCCAAGGAATAACGACTTGAGGCCAGCAAAAACACACGGACTGTATGAAATGCTTTTTGAAGTTGTGTTCATAGTGACATCTTACCACCGCAAGATATGTCTGAATGTACATTTTTCGCGGGTGACCTTTTCTATACGTTCCCCTCAAGAGTGAAGATAGAATAAGCAACTTGCTGGTCATCTGAGGGAACCGCCTAATTGCTGTTACATCCCTCTTTCGTTACCCACAGACCTCGCAACATAGTGAAACCAACTTGCTCTATGATTGTAATTGCTGTCCAAGCAACCTTTCTGACAGGATGGGACCTGAACAAAAATTAGTTCTAGTCAGTAAAAATAGTTGGGACATCGTGATATATGTAGGCCCAACCACCACGTAAAGGTAGCAGCCATAGATCGGGACTTTAAATGTCAAACTTAATTTTATTAAGACAAGAACCTAGCCTCGAATAAGCATTAATTGGACATACACAATTTCCACCTTTCCAGTGGAATTTTTCTATTAAACTATCTTCACGAACTTGTAGTGTACATTGAACTTACTCGGCATTTCTTCCTCTTTCGATTCGTGAATCTTCTGTACGTTTTTGGTTCGCTCTCTCGTTGTGCGAACCAGCTCATCCAGCGCACTCTCCGAGCCTACCACAGCCTACAGTCAAGACTGTAGATAAGTGTATACCTCTTATTTTTATCACGTTTTATATCTCTTTTGTGTAAGTATAACTCTGTTCCAGCCACACTTGCGATCTCAAGTCTTTTTACCTCGGTTCCATTCGTTAGTATTTGCACATTAGGCAGAGTACAACTAAGGTCATAAAGCGGTGAAGAAGTTTTGTAAGATTGGTTATTTTAGGTCTAAGTTAAGACAAGCCTAACTCTTACAAACTAATTCTGAGTAACTGTACCAATTAAGATACACAAACGGTATACATCCTAATAGACATTAATAGAATGGTCCAAGATTTGAGAATGACGATGTCAAGGAAACTTTTTATCATGACGAATAGTCTCTTCTTCCCTTCGATGATCAGTTTCTGTAATGATTATCAAGGCATGACGCCGCACACACACACACACATCGGCAAACACCTGAATCCAACACTATAAATTTTCACACTGATAGACAAGTCTTTGAAGTATCACTGATTACTACTAGAATCCATGGCTTTAAAGGCCTTGACTTCACAATAGATTATCGGTATACAAATAATTGTATTGATGTATAGACCTAATTTTCTACATGTTTGTTTCTATCATCACATTTATTGATTTATGACTTAGTTTTTTTCTCTCACCCTACTTATGATCTTTGAAATCCTATTGGTTGTTCACCGTTTTAATTTATCAATGACATTAGTGCTTCTCACGGTCACTTTTTTGACTTTTGTTTGAGACGGTAAAACCTCTCTTATTAAGGCCCACTCTCCCCTTCTGCCTTTGCTGCGCGGCGGTGTTATTGTTGACGTGCGATTAGGATAGATTAGCCAGAGCGCATTAAAGGTAAATTTTATTTTGATAAAGTCTCACAGTGTTATACAGTAATGTTTACTGATGACGTTTCGAGCACAATTTATTGCTCATAATCATATCACCTTGATTTGATTATGAGCAATAAATTGTGCTCGAAACGTCATCAGTAAACATTACTGTATAACACTGTGTGACTTTATCAAAATAAAATTTACCCATAATGGAACTACACTCTACCACAGTGCACAAGTTTTATTCTTATATCAGCGCGCATTAAGTTAGTATTCGCTCATAGCCTACTAGGTCGTGGTTTCAGTCATAACATGTATTAGTACTGGGAAACGTTATAAACAACATTGGGTGACGATAACGCATAAGTTGGAATTTATAAGGCTGACCTTTAGTATTCCATTTTAACGATCCCCTCTTGTAAACTTAAAAATCCTGTTTTTATTTCCCCGCGAGTGAGGTCATAAGTGCATACACTCCTGAAGAGTTGTCTGAGACTGGAACGAAACCACTGTGCAGTGCTCCATAGTTTTCAATGTCTCTTTAATTCATATCAGTTCGTGATCTAAATTTGCAAGCCCTTTCTATTAATTCTTTTGCATTCTGTGTGGAGGATAGGGCTTTAGTAGTTAAAGTGTCACTACTTAGTAGTGAAATTTTTCATTTCTCTATGAGGTGACAGGCTGCCGGCCTCATATACACAACCATCCCTTTTTACGCAGCTTACTGTAATGTTATGCAGATATATCGATAGGAAGTAGCCAAACCTCGACTGAACATTTTAAATCAATCGCTACAGACAGATGTAGTGTTTATACCATAAATCTGCATTCAGTTTACGTTGTGGACATGAATAAACCTTGTTGGGCGATTTCTTTAATCTTGGGGTCAATTGCCAATCAATGAGA